AAACATTAAAAGCTTCTCTAAACAGGGCTGCCTTCAGATGTCATGGGGCGTAATCTGAACATTCCATTTCACATCTAAAATCTCAAACTGAAGTCCAGACCGTTTGCCCATCTAGCCCGGTATTGTCTAGTCTGACTGGCGGCAGCCCTCCTGCCTGCTACCTAAGCTTTCATCTCTAGAGATTTCAGGTGTTGGAGATCACATCTTACACATGCAAAGCAGATGTGTCTTCACCCTCATTGTTCAGCCCAGACACTGAGGTCCAGCGCTGAGGGCCTTCTGGTGGTTCCCTCCCTGCCAAAAGTGAGGTTACAGGGAACCAGGCAGAGGGCCTTCTCGGTAGTGGCGCCCACCCTATGGAATGCCCTCCCATCAAATGTCAAGGAAATAAACAACTATCTGACTTTTGGAAGACATCTGAAGGCAGCCCTGTTTTGGGAAGTTTTTAATGTTTGATGGTTTATTGTGCTTTTAATTCTGTTGGGAGCAGCCCAGAGTGGCTGGGGAAACCCAGCCAGATGGGCGAGATATAAATATTATTATTATTATTATTATTATTCAGCATCTCTGAAATATATTATCTCCCACTGTGGGTTAAACCACAGAGCCTAGGGCTTGCCCATCAGAAGGTCGGCGGTTCAAATCCCTGTGATGGGGTGAGCTCCCATTGCTCGGTCCCTGCTCCTGCCAACCTAGCAGTTTGAAAGCACGTCAAAGTGCAAGTAGATAAATAGGTACCGCTCCAGCGGAAAGGTAAACGGCGTTTCCGTGTGCTGCTCTGGTTTGCCAGAAGCTGCTTCATCATGCTGGCCACATGACCAGGAAACTGTACGCCAGTTCCCTCGGCCAATAAAGCGAGATGAGCGCCACAACCCCAGAGTCGTCTGTGACTGGACCTAATGGTCAAGGGCCTCTTTTCCTTTACCTAATGTGCCATGTCACATCCGGCAATCTTGATGTTCAAGTGGCATGAATGGGCTTGTCACACCACCACAGAGAACTTTCACATCACTTCAGACACAGGGCTTTACAATGGATGCAGCCAAGGTTCTCGCATTCAGCTGCCACCAGTCAAATGATATCCCTTGGTGACTGGGAGATGGATATGGGAATTGACTTCACTGTGTTTGTTGTGAGTCAAAGTGATATTTAAAAAGCCATGTGTGGTTGTTCATCTATGACATGATGCAAGTCATCACTTAATGCTGCAGTAATTGAATAAGGAATGTACATGTGTGAATTGGCCCCTAACCCCAACCTAATCTATCTACATTGGGGTAGCTCACCCTTTCTCTCTTATTTTGGGCTGCATTAATCTTTGACCAACATTCCAGGGGTGGGGGGCATATACCAGCAGTGAGTGTAGCTGCTCCATACTATTTCACAGATGCCCTCATGTGACATACACAAGCATTCAACGCTTCTCTGCTGATCTGTGTAGATTATGATGGCAATGATGAACTGTTGAACTTATTGGTAGTTCGCTACACAAAAAGGACCCCAAGTAAGTTACAAAAATGTTTAAGAGAATGAAGCATAAAGAATTATAATAATAATAATAGCATAATAATAACAGTTTGTGGAAAAAAATCCACAGGCAACAGACAACCAAAGGGAGCAAATATTTTGGCAGCAACAAACAATAAAAGCAAATGACTCATAGTCCTTCAAACACCAAAAGGAAAAAGGAAAGTTGGTGGTGAATGATGTTTGTGATGGCGCCTGGTGGACCTTAGTGGGGAGAGCAGTCCACGGATGAGGGACCACCATTGCAAAAGGCCCTCAGGTCAGCTGAAGTTGGGACTTATGAGCCAACACTGAAGCTACCAGAAAAATTGCCGGGGGGGGGGGGCAAATGGGGTCAACCACCGATTGTCTACCTGGTTGGCATGGGCTCTATGTGTTGGTGTTGCTAACATGTTCTGAATAGACAAATCCACACTGATAAGTGGATCTGAGTTCCCTTGCAGTCAATGCACAAGTACAAAAAGCAGAAACACTAAGCAGTGGCATATTCTGTTAAGTTGTGGGTGAACATATCAGACGACACAGCGATTCTTCAAACAGCTCTTGTTTATTCACAGGTCAGAACAGAACAGAACTGAAGGGTTCAGCCAGCCTGCTTATATAGAGCTCCACTAGAACGCAACAGTAACCACTTTCTGTAACTATCCAATCACTGAACGTCACTTTCAATCCCTTATTTGCATATGTGGACCTGAGTGAAAACTATCTACAGTATCCCCCTGCTGGCTCAGGGTGAGAACTTCAGTACATAACATATTCCATAAGGAAAGGTTAGAAAATTTGGGTCTTCCTAATTTGGTGGGAAAAGCAACTAATCATGGCAGGCGTCATGGAGGTTTGTACAATCATGTGCGGAGTAGAGAAGGCTAATATACAACTACATTTTTTCTCTCTCCTTCCCTCATAACATTCAGACCTGTGGGGTTATTCAGAGAAACGTCCTTCCCGTTTTAATTAATGTTTTCTTTCCATATTTTAATATTTTAGTTGTATACCGTTTGAACTTGCTGTGAACTGCCCAGGGGGCTTTGTCAACTGAGTGGCCGACAAATGTTCTGAATAAATAAAATAAAGTTATTGGCAGGAGATTCAAGGCAGGCAAAAGGAGGCAACACGTAATTAATTTATGGCACTGGCTGTCACAAGATGAGCTGGTGGCCACTAGATTAAATGGCTTTAAAGGGGGACTGGACAAATTTATATACGGTAAGTCTATCTATGGCTGTTAGTCGTGAGTCTGCTGAGTTTGCAAAAATTTGCATTGAATAATTTGTTTTATATCATCATTATTACATTGGTTACCCCCTGTTCACCAGGATGGGTTACAACAATATGTCATTCAGAATGAAGAACAGTTAAAGACAATCGCATGAATAGGGTGGGTCTTGAAAACACACACCTCAGGTGTCAAACATCAGTGTGAAAAGGTGCGTCTTCAGCATTCTCTGGAAGCTGTATAGTGAAGAAGTCAGAGAATGAGACTCTTAATCTTGGGGTCATGGGTTCGAACTTCACATCCGGCAAAAGATTCCTGCATTGCAGGGGGTTTAACTAGATGACCCTTGTGGTCCCTTCCAATTCTATGAGACACCTCTGTACATTGCTTTGTTAACTTTTTGTTGTGGAGCGTTTTATGAACCTGCAAATGAATGAATGACAAAAGCAAATGAAATGAAACGACGACTCTATGCAATTCAGAGTACCTCTGAATACCAGTTTGTGGCAAACCCACAAGCCTCTCCCATGACTGCTATCCTGCAGGACAGCAGCCATGGAAGAATCTTGTGTGTTTCAGAGAAACATCTGGTTGGCCACTATGGGAAACAGGATGCTTGTGTTGGGATACTGCAGAGGAGATGGGGTGATCAGGCAGGCATCAGGCAGGGCCCCAGCTGGCTCCAGCCACTGGCCGGCAGCTGGTCTCCCTTGGAACAGCATCAAACAGCAACACGAGCCTCCGATACGTTTAGAGACCCGTGCACGCTCTGTCAGCAGAGTGTGTAAATCTCCTCACAGCAGAAGAGGCAGACAGAGAAATGTGTAAGCATAATGTACAGCATTTTATTCAGCATAGTTCAGGAACAAAGGAAAACATGTCTGCTTCCCTTCGTCTCCAGCAAAACACCAGTAACACAAAACCTATATACAAATGGAAGTTCCCAGCAGATCATGTGACACCCAACAGGCACGTGACACCCAACAGTCATGCCTGTACCCTTTTAAGGTGGAACGGAACTATATCCTAACAACTTAGACCAGGAGTGGGGGAACTTTGGCCTTCCATATGTTGCTCAACTATATCTCCCATAAGCCCTAGCAAGCATGGCTGGTGGGCAGGGGTCAAAGGCACCAAGGTACCCAATTTCAAGCACTTATATAACACCAGTGGCAGGTTACCGGCAGAGTAGGCACTGGCCTATGGGTCCCAGAGCTTTTGGGAGCCCCACAACAACAGATCAAAATAATATTGATTTGATCTTGAAAGGACATGCCAAAAATGTATTAGGAGATAATTTGTGAGCCCCCCCCCAAACCCGGAGATTTTGACTACCTAGGGGCCTCCACAGGGTTTAATCCAGAACTGCACAACACCCTGTGGATAGATAATGGTAATAGTCACCGATTCTCTTAACACCCAAAGCCATCTTAAATATATTTGTGTGGCATCTCCGTTCCCCCACACTGTGCATTTCCCAACAGCTGTGGGCATCTTCTTACAAAAGTACGTGTGCAAATGGTTTGAGGTTCAGCAAACCATTAGGACATGACAATCAAATAACGCATTTCACAGGAGGCAGCGATGCTAACGGCTGCAGGTATTACTTGACTATTTATAGATTAATAATGTTAGTTAATTAGCAGGACTAAAGTGCCGCTGTGGCTAAGGGGAAAAGCTGGGAACCGCAAACCCACCAGCTCCCATCTCACCTTGACCATCAATCTACTAGGAAGCTTTAAGCAAACTGCTCCCACTCAGCTTCATTCTCCCCACCCCAATCTGCAATATGGGGGGGGGGGGGACTGACCTACCTTGCAGGATTGTTTAATGATTACTGAGGCAATAGATGTGGAGTTGTCTGAGCACTCCAAAGCATTGCATACATAAATACTGTTATTGCTAATCATATTATTATTGCTGTTGAACACAGTCCAAAGCATTACATAAGCTTAGCTCAGCTAGTTAGAGCATGGTGCTGGTAGCACTAAGGATGCAGGTTCACAAGAACTCCAGTAATAATAATAATTAGTAGCAGCAGCTGCAGCAGCAATATTACATTTACGAATCACTTCCTGTTAAGCATCTCAAAGCATATTCACCTTACAATAAAAACCAAGGGTTTTCAATGCTAGTCATACTCAGAGTAGAGCTATTGCAGTTAATTGACATGAATAGCTTAGGCTCGTTCATTTCAATGGGTCTACTCTGAGTAGGACACAACCCTATATACAGAACATTTAATAAAAGTTAAACCTGGGATAGCTCAGTCAGTAGAGCATGAGACTCTTAATCTCCGGTTCATGGGTTCAAGCCCCACGTTGTGTGAAAAATTCCTGCATCGCAGGGGATTGGACTAGATCAGGGGTCAGCAAACTTTTTCAGCAGGGGGCCGGTCCACTCTCCCTCAGACCATGTGGTGGACTGGACTATATTTTGGAAAAAAATATGAACAAATTCCTATGCCCCACAAAGAACCCAGAGATGCATTTTAAATAAAAGGACACATTCTACTCATGTAAAAACACGCTGATTCCCAGACCATCTGCAGGCTGGATTTAGAAGGTGATTGGGCCGGATCCGGCCCCCGGGCCTAAGTCTGCCTACCCATGAACTAGATGATCCTTGTGGACCCTTCCAACGCTACAGTTCTATGATTCTATGATTATTGGACCATATGCAGCGAGAGGACAGGAAGCATAATCCATCAAAATCCCGTAGTAATATATAGAATGACTTTTTGGACTATAATATAGGACCATTATTTGAGCCACAAGAATGGTGTTGTTGGTGTGTTGTGTTGTTGTAAGTGTGGTATAAAAAATTTTGCGGGGAGGAATTTAAAAAACAATAGTCAAACAATCACAGATATAAAACAATTAAAACGAAAAAATGAAAACAATTACATATATAAAAACAGTCAGGTATATAAAATGATATTTAAAATAAAATAAAATAAAATTGAATGCCAATTAGGCTATAAATCTCCACTTTGAAGTCTTCTTGAAGGTCGTCAACATGCACCAAAAAGACAATAAAAACAGCACCTGTCTGATATGTAACAGGATTCTGACTCCTCCTAGTTTGACTTACCAGAAGCAAAGGAAAGGGGAGAGAACAGAGGATTGTAACAAAATGCGACTCAGACAGCATGGCAGCAATGCTCCTTTCAAGAAGAGAAAGAATGCTGAGCAGTGCTTTGAAAGAGGATGACACCTTTAAAAACAATGAAAGGCAATCTTTCCAAATCCTCAGCCCTTTTCCTTTTCAACCCAGCCTACGCTTTCCTTTTTCAACCTCTTCCCAGCGGCTCATGGAAGTTGTGCTGACAACATCACATATTCCATCAAAGCCCCCACAGCCCCTAGAACACCTTTGGCTAATGTGATGCTTTAATTAGGGTTGCCAGAGGAAGAAAGGGGAAGGGATGGCAGATGGCGAGAAGCGTCACTTCGACGATTATTTGCTGAGAATAGAAACGAAAGCTCAAAAGCACATCCATTCACTCCAGCGCTGTTGGGGTGGGGGTGGGGGTGGGGGTGGGCTTATGGTCAGAAAGCGGCATTAAAAAACCACAACTTTAATGTAAGATTTCTAGCCTGCTGGCTAGAAAGACTGTCCACTTTTCATAGATGGAGGGCGAGTAGTTTTGATTTCAGTTTTTTGATTCAGATGGAGACAGAAGCAGCTTGCCAGAGAGCATGGAGCTGCTATACTAGCTTCTCAGAAGGCGGGTCCTTGTTACTTACTGGGAGGCGTAAGGAGAGGGGCAAGGCAACAGGGAGGTTAGCATGGTGCAAACACTGGCAGGAGCTAATCCAGCACACCATGCAAATCCCCCTCTCCCTCTCTCAGCAACCCACCTTTTCGGAAGCTAACACAGTTCTACTGCATTAAGCGAGCCGCTTCTGACAAACATACATTTGTCCTTATTTAAGGGAATCATAGAATTGTAGGGTTGCAAAGGACCCTCTGCAATGCAAGAATCTCAACATGTGGTCTCCCATCCAATTTGAAACCATACTGGGCCCTGCTTAGCTTTGAAAATGTGCTAGCAGTATTATTGTTGCACCACTAGGTGGTGGAAAAACATGGGATCAGTCCATATTTCTAAATTTGCTTCTATCCGTGAAATTAGCACATGCAATTTCTCTCTCACTTTCTCTCTCTCTCTCTCTGGTGAGGAATAACTGGCCACCCTAGAAAACCCCACATTTTGCAGAAGTACCAAAATATTTCAGAGGGGAAAATCTGGGTTGGGGGGCACCACATAAAATAGCCCAATGGGCATAATTTAGTGTGTAGAGTGGCCCCAAAATGCTGCCTGGGGGAAGAAGGAGACGGGAAACCGATTGAGCAGGGAAACAATATATATTGTTATAAGTATGGAGTACTGGGTGCGGGCCAGCACTATAAAACACTGGTTGCTTTGCCATTTTCGTTGCCAACCTTCGAGTTTCCTCTCCGACGCACTTAAGGACTCTTATAAATCCAGATGGTTCCAACACTTACATAGCAAAATCAGATCTATTGGTATTGACTTGGAACACTTGTTTAATTCAAGTGAGCAATATATTTATCACAATATTCAAACCAGAATAAGGGCCATTAAAAACAAAACATCGAGTCAGCTGTAAATAAAATTTGCTTCCCCAAGTTCTATGGTTTAAATACAACAGATAACAGGGTCACTTATATCTCAAAATTAATAATTCCAGTGCGATGCAGGGCCTTTATGATAGCCTGACTGAACATTTTCCCTTCAGCTTTCGTCAAGGGCAGATATTTAAACATCCCCAGAAATGACAGACATTGTGGATGTTCTTTGAATGTGCTGGACATTGTCTACTGTCCATTGTACAACCAACTACACTAACATGTACTTCCCCCTTTTTTGGGTAGTCTAACATCACAACCCACTGAAAATATCAGATTCTATCTCTCTGACCTTAACCTGGAAGTAACTGCAAGGGTGGCTGAGTTTTTTGCACAGAAGTGGCTGTTTTAGATCCAGACTTTTTGGGGTACGTACAGATCCTTGGAACGAATTAGGTCCGTATCCAAAGGGTCCACTGTATATGTTTTACATGGCTGGGGGTTTTTTTTTGCATATATTTTAAAATTTTATATATGGATGCTTTATGATGTTTTATGGTGGAGATGACTAAACGACTAAACAACAACAACATTTATAATGCCTAATAAAGCTTTGGTGAAGTAAGTAAGTATTGTTATGAGTTTGGAGGAGAGAGTAAGCTGTATGCCAAAACCCTTCTAACTCCTGGATCCACCAATTGTTAAAACAGGGGTAGGCAACCTTAGGCCCCGGCCTGGATGCGGCCCAATCGCCTTCTCAATCTAGCCCTACGGACAGTCTGGGAATCAGCGTGTTTTTACATGAGTAGAATGTGTCCTTTTATTTAAAATGCATCTCTGGTTTATTTGTGGGGCATAGGAATTTGCTCATATATTTTTTCCAAAATATAGTCCGGCCCACCACATGGTCTGAAGGACGGTGGACTGGCCCACAGATGAAAAGGGTTGCTGACCCCTGTGTTAAAATATAAGCCAGGCTAGCTTCTTGTTGAGGTGATGGCCTGGGTGATGGGCCATTAAGGGAACAAAGAAGGGGTGCTGTGAAAGAGGCAAATGGTTAGTTAGAATTAAGACAAAACCAGGGTTGAGAATAGAGAATTTGGAGTGATATGAGCTAGAAGTAAAGCAGAAAGCTAGGAAACAACGGAGGCAGAGGAATGTTTGATTTCTGTTTGAATCCAAGGCTGTGGCTATGAGAGAAGCAGGCCCTCTTGGGGTGTTCACGTTGTGAACCGCTCAAGCTGTATATGTGTGTAAATAAACCATATAGCATAAAGACACCATAGTCTCCCCTGTGCCTCATTCCAAAGGAAACACGAACCCTGGGTAAGTGCCTGGAACCCCTGGAATATCACACCACTTTAAGATTGGGGTGACGTGCAGCAGTATAATAACACTTTGTGCAAGTTACTAGATCTCGGGTAGGTCTTATCTCATGGGGTGGTTGAGAGGACCAGAGAGCATTAGGGGGGTGGGGGTGGAGACTGAGTTGCAAATGAGATCAGTTACATAAAAATCTTACTCATGCTGAAATTCTCCACAGATGACAAACAAAGATGCGACTTGGAGATGTTCTGAATCAGCCTGAATGTTTCCTGCTGCTCTTTTTCGAAGAATTGAAGAAGAACTGGTGTTGTATGAGGCAATCTGGTGCCCTCAGGTGTTTTGGACTACCACTCCCATCAGCCATTGGGAGCTGTAGTAAAAAAGCACCTGAGGGCAATGGGTTGGCGAAGGCGACTGGTTTCCTGCCCAAAGCCTGAGGATACACAAAAGCCGGCAAGAACCAAACGCTCTACCTCAGTTTGCTTCTGCTTGAGCAAACAGGTTACTGAGGGTGCAGCCTGCTTTGTTTTCACAGCCCTCCTTATTATATTCCTTCAGTTGCTCCAGAAGAGGGACCATAATTGCTTCTGTCAGAAAAGGGCTGGTGATAAACACGGATCCACGTCCAGCAGCTTCTGCAAAAGAGCCAAGGTGTATACCAAACCCAGAGCATTTCCTTCTCTTCCACATCCCAGATGCACCTCTTTTCCTTGGCCTTTTGACACCTGAGCTACATAAATATATGTAGGGCCCAGCCTATTCTCTTGATTGTAATCTGTTTTAACTGTGGGGTGTAAAAACGTATTGCAGTCAAATACAACATTCCTACAATACACACGCTGGGGAATGCTTTGTATCACTCAGGAGAAAACTTGCTAGTTCCTCCTGAGCTGGGACAGACTTCCTTTGCATGTGACTTAATGTGGGTGTGGCCTGTTCTTGGACAGAGGAGCAAACGGTCTCCATTTTCTGCTCTTCTTCTCCTTTTCGTTTTCCCAAGATTTAGGAAAAGTGACTGCTGAGTCTCAGTCACTTGAGACTATTTCCCTTATGGGATAATTCACATAGTTATATGTTGTTCTGTAAATTAACAAAACAACAAGCAAACCTATGGTCACGTAACGCATCCTCAATATACACACAAGATAAATAAGGTATACTATTCATTGTATCAAATGTCAACAGAAGTAACTCATGGACAACCTTTTATGTGGATTGTTTGGACTTTATGAAGAGAAAGGTGGAATAGACACCATTACACGGCTGGACCTTATGCATGAACTGACTAGAGAATGATCTGATCCACTGGGTCTTCTGCTTTGTTCATTTGTTGAACTTTATGAATTACTTCTGTTGAAATTTGATACAATGAATAGTTTACCATGTGTTTATTGAGTTCTGTAAATTAAGT